GTTGTTAGCATGGAACTGTGTCAGTCCTCCCGGCCACCAGGGGGTGTTGTTAGCATGGAACTGTGTCAGTCCTCCCGGCCACCAGGGGGCGTTGTTAGCATGGAACTGTGTCAGTCCTCCCGGCCACCAGGGGGCGCCACTGACACAGAACCTCTCCTCGGTCCTCCCAGCCGCCGGGGGGCGCCCTGGAGGTGTCGCTGCAGCTGCCGCCGCTCTCGGTGCCCGACGACGGCTCTTTCGTCTGCTCCGTGACCACGCCCCTCGGGCAGGTGCAGCAGGTGCTGCGGATGAACGTCGTTGGTCAGTGCCGGGGATGAACTGGGAGGGACTGGGAAGGGGTGGGAGGGCTCCCAGTTGCTCCCAGTATGTCCCAGTACAACTCTCTATGGTCATACTGGGCTGGGAGAGCTCTGTAGGGTTTGTCTGGGACCCTCAGAAGGTCTGGGTGGGCTCCCAGTGGCTCCCAGTATCCCACAAAGGTCGGTACTGGGATGGCGGGAGGTCTGCGTGTGTCGCTAGGATCCACTGTGGTCCGTACTGGTCCATACTGGATCCACACTGGTCTATACTGGATCCACACTGGTCCATACTGGATCCATCTGGCCCCCATACCCAGCCCCAGCGCGACTCCCAGTCCCTCCCAGTCTCTCCCAGTCCATCCCAGTCCATCCCAGTCCCTCCCAGTCCCTCCCAGTTCCATCCCAGTCCATCCCAGTTCCATCCCAGTCCATCCCAGTCCCTCCCAGTCCCCCCAACCAACCTCTCCCCCCATCCCCAGCCCCTCCACGCGTGTCCCTGGCTCCGACCGCGCTGTTCCCGGGGGTCCCGGCCGAGCTCCGCTGCGATGCCGTCGGTTTCTTCCCTCCGGACGTGGAGATCCGCTGGGAACGGCGGCGCCGGGAGCGGCTCCAGGAGGAACCGGTGGAGCTCACCCGGAGCTCCAAACACCGGGAGCAGCTCCAGGAGGAACCGGTGGAGCTCACCTGGAGCTCCAAACACCGGGAACGGCTCCAGGAGGAACCGGTGGAGCTCACCCGGAGCTCCAAACACCGGGAGCGGCTCCAGGAGGAACCGGTGGAGCTCACCCGGAGCTCCAAACACCGGGAACAGCTCCTGGAGGTACCGGTGGAGCTCACCCGGAGCTCCAAACACCAGGAGCAGCTCCAGGAGGAACCGGTGGAGCTCACCCGGAGCTCCAAACACCGGGAACAGGTCCAGGAGGAACCGGTGGAGCTCACCCGGAGCTCCAAACACCGGGAACGGCTCCTGGAGGAACCGGTGGAGCTCACCCGGAGCTCCAAACACTGGGAACAGCTCCAGGAGGAACCGGTGGAGCTCACCCGGAGCTCCAAACACCGGGAACAGCTCCTGGAGGTACCGGTGGAGCTCACCTGGAGCTCCGGGCACCGGCGGGCGGCCGATGGTACCTTCAGCCGCGGGGCCGGGCTGCGGGTGACGGCTGGAGAGGTCGGGGACGTCTACAGCTGCCTGGTGACACACCCGGCGTGGGCAACACCGAGGAGGTTCAGCGTGGCTGTGATGGGTGAGGGGACACCTGGGGACATTGGGGACACCTGGGGACAGCCCTGGGGACATCTAGGGACACCTGGGGACATTGGGGACAGCCCTAGGGATACCTGAGGACATTGGGGACACCTGGGGACACCAGAATGGGGTTGAGGATACCTGGGGACATTGGGGACAGCCCTGGGGACATTGGGGACACCTGGAGACATTGAGGATGGCGTTGGGGACACCAGAATGGGGTTGGGGACACCTGGGGACATGAAGGACATTGGGGATGGAGTTGGGGACATCAGGGATGGGTTTGAGGACACCTGGGGACATCAGGAACAGGGTTGGGGACATTTGGGGACATCAGGGATGGGCTTGGGGACACCTGGGATGGGGTTAGGGACACCTGGGGACATCAGGGATGGCCTTGGGGACACCTGGGGACATCAGGGATGGGCTTGGGGACACCTGGGGACATCACAGACAGGGTTTGGGATATTGAGGATGGGGCTGGGGACACCAGAACGGGTTTGGGGACATCAAGGACAGGCTTGGGGACACCGGGGGGTGTCACTGACGTGTCCCCAATGTCCCCACAGCCACCCCTGGGCCCAGCGTGGAGGACATGGCGGGGATGGCCCTGGTAGCCTTCGTCATCGCGGGACTCTGCCTGCGCCTGTGGCCGGTCCCGGTGTGGGGACACTGATGGTGGCGGGAGTTGTTCCGGTCCCGTTATTAACGTTAATTTTTATTAATTATTAATTTTAGAATTGATTAATTTAATTCGTCAGAAGCCTCGGCGCCATCTTTAATACGGGCAGGTTGTGCCCTTCTTGTCCCTCGCCAAATCTCGCGAGGTTTCGTCCGAAGTCTCGCCGTCATCTTAAATACGGACAGGGTGTGCTCTTAAGCCACGCCCCCTTTCCCGCGCGAAATCTCGCGAGGTTTTGCCCGAAGCCGCGCCGCCATGTTTAGTACGGGCATGCTTTGCCCTTAAGTCGCGTCCCCTTCCTTTCCAGCGCGAAATCTCGCGAGGTTTCGCTCGAAGCCGCGTGGCCATCTTTACTCCGGGCGGATTTTGCCCTTAAGCCACGCCCTCACTTCCCGCGGGATCTCGCGAGATCTCGCTTTGCCACGTTCCCGGGCTTTTGGAGGTACCGGGACGACCCCGGGAGGGACCCCCGCGGATTTTGGGGCGATTTCGGGGGTTTTGGGGGGTTCTGGAGGGTGCTGGGGGGATGGAAAGGGTCAGGGAAAGGGTTTGGGAGGGGTAGTGGGAAGGCGGGGTGGGGGTTTGCGGGGTCCTGAGGGGAATCTTGGGGCGGGGGTTGGGGGTCCTGAGGGGATTTGGGGATCCTGAGGGGTTTGGGAGGATCCTGAGGGGGGCTTGGGGGTCCTGAGGGGGTTGGGAGGGGATTTGGGGATCCTGAGGGGTTTGGGAGGATCCTGAGGGGGGTTTGGGG